GTGCGCTTATTTGCCTTGTAATTAGCATTTGATGATCTACCCATCTATCTGCCACTCTGTATATCTATCTATCTATGCATCGATCTATCAGCTATCAGTCAACCAGTCTATCTATCAGTTATGCTGACAATAATCCCAACGAGCACACGAGACCTCCCTCACCGCGCAACCGCCCGAGCGCCCGAAAAGCAGGCAAAGCACCTCATCTTTAAGCCTACTTCGGGGACCGCAACTCCGAATCGCTACACTGATTTCAAGGGGATACCGAGGGGGGTGAGGGAGGGGGGGGTTCATTCGGTGGCGAAAACAAACTCACCAATTTCCCTTCTCCGTTGCCTCGAACCCGAAGCAGCAAACCGATTTCATACCGTCGCTCTTTCGGCATTGAGAGAGATAGATTGTCCGAAGGTGCACGCCGGGAGAGGAATTTAACCGCCTTCACATGAGAAGGAGAGGGAGTGGCAGAGAGAGAGTGGAGGGAGGGGAGCAGAGTTTGGGGAGGGCGAGGGAGAGAGAGAGGGAGAGAGATGGATATAGAGGAAATGGGAGATAAGGTGTGAGGGTATTTGTATGCATAAGAGAGAGAGAGAGAGAGAGAGAGAGAGAGAGAGAGAGAGAGAGAGAGAGAGAGAGAGAGAGAGAGAGAGAGAGAGAGAGAGAGAGAGTGAGAGAGAGAGAGGGGGGGGGGGAGGCATGATGTCAACGCTACACTGCCCTCATCTCACGCCCTGGCGACGCCGCCCTCGTGGTGGCTGCTGCAACCTCGGTTTTAGCCGCACGGAAATCATTCTGGTTTTCTTTAAGGGGCCAAACACGTTTCTGTGAAAATGGCAAGGGGTCATAGGTTCTACTTCGCTATATAAGAATATGCTTATAGACATACATGAATACATATATGTATATATGCATATATATATATATATATATATATATATATATATATATATATATATATACTTTGCATATATATATATATATATATATATATATATATATATATATATACATATACATATATATATATATATATATATATATATATATATATATATATATATATATATATATATGTGTGTGTGTGTGTGTATGTGTGTGTGTGTGTGTGTGTGTGTGTGTATGTGTGTGTGTATGTATGGATATATATATATGCATACTTATATAGATACATACATATGTTTACTGGGTCTCCTTATAAGACAGTTTACTGTCAAAATCAAATCAAGCGATTTTAAGCCAGCTGAGGCGGCATTCACGAATGATCTATATATGTTCTTTGCGTGGCACATCTCAACTTGTTAAATATAGACCCTATTTTGATTATCTATTGTGCCAAGACGATAAAGTAAATATGACAATAAATCTTACCTATAGTGTAAATGTAATATTACACATTTAGCATATCTAAATGTGATATGGCGTTTATTGCCATTATATCAATTATAAAAGCGGGCGCCGCTATTTGTATTTTTTAATGAAATATAGCAACAAAATATAAGGAGACGACCCAATTAACGTTCGACAATTTATCAACAAAGGAATAACTGCATAAGGACAAATTAAAAACAGGCTTTACAGAATTGAAGACAGTCCACGCGAAAAAATAACCACATATTGCTGCAAACGACTAAATTACCGTTTGACAATAAATCAAAAAGGGCTTCCAAGTTTTTCCTATCATATTCGATACAGAATTATCATTAAATTTGTGTACAATTGCACTGTAGTTTTTGACAGTCTTTATGCGTGTGGGACACATCCACACCTGTCCGAAAACTTCGGCCGAGTTATAGACAAAAACTGCCTGTCTAAGATATTTTCCTGGGGAGTCAGACAGATTGCGGAGTCAAAAGCAGATGGAGATGATCACACACCACTTATGGCAAATAGACTTTGGAGGCCCATTCTGATTTATTGTCAATCATTAATTGATTCGTATTCAACATATTCGCAGAAATTTTCTATTTGAAAATACAAATGGCGCCACGCGTTTTCACAACTGATGCAATAACAACAAACCTATGGTTGCCCAGATTTCAGTTGAAATGTGTAATACTCTTATCATTATAGAAATAAGATTTATTGCAGTATAAAGTTCAGCAACGATGCAGATGCTTGTTCCATTACCATTAACTTTGGCATGTGGCAAATCGTAAAGAACAGTCATAGACCTTTCGTGAATACCCTCCCTGAACCTTAACGGCCATTTAATTTTTGCTAAAATTGCGAGACGCCCGACCCCATGAATATTCATGTATATGGACATGCTTATACACATAAATATGCCCGTATTTATCACTCTACATGTGTATGTTTATCAGATAATTAGATAGAGAATTTCATATTCATCAAACAGATAAATATGTATTTTTCTGTGTAAAGACGTATCCATATTTATAAATATTCCTTGGGTCGAGCCTCTAGCAATGTTAATAAGCCGGCAGTTAGTCCGACTTGATTTCGTCTCTGAT